TAATACTATATCTAATTAGAAACATTAAATATTTTTACATAGTTATATTCCATATTTTCTCACTTTTTAAATATGCAGAAGATACATAACGTTTCCATGTTAGTCTAAATGTATATTTGTGTAATATCCTATGAAATGTTTCGCTATCCCACCTAGGCCATCTCGGTTGATAATCTCTACTGATAAACCATCTTAAACTTTATGAGAGCCCTTTTGGATGAACTTAAAAATCCGAACCCTTTCAGATTTTAAATTTTTTGGAAAATTTAATAACTGTTTGAATTAATGATTGATTTACATTAACGATATTATTCTTAAAATCAAATTTACGATATTTTAAAACAGAAATGGTAAAAGCAGAAAACTGGAACAAATATTAATTAAAGAGCTGTTCCAGATCTTTTAGTTTTTTTATTAAACCCAAGAAACAAATTTATTGATTGAAATTCTAACTCACACTACTGTTGCCAATACGCATATAAATAAATAATCGAGTTGGAAACAAAAGTGCTTAAATTCAGCCGGTACCATCCGAAGTCCTGCTCCGATATATCTTAACGGTAAAAGTTTACAATAAGGTGCGCCTTGTTTTTTCGCGATTCTTTTCTGACGCCAAGATCGTTTTTACTTAAAAAACATCAGAGAATTCCACAATCTCGGCATTGCGGACTTTGCCCATGTACACATCGATCTATTTTCACTTAAAAAAGACATCAGAAATCTAAAGTTAAAACTGCCGTGGTAACAAAAAATGGGGTTTCATCGCCAAAAGTGAACAAAATTTGTCGCCAATCGAAAGGGCACCCAATTCTACACTAGAGCCATATCAGCTTTTGAGTGAAATTTGAATTCCTGACAGAGAACTTCTGAGACTCAGGCAAATGAGTTACAGTACTTTGCTATGTAACTAATTCGCAGTACAAACAGAAAACTAACTGTTACTAACGCAACATTTCTTTTAGCAGTTCTCTTTTAGCAATAATTTCTTTGGTTAAAGTAGATTGAAGGGTGCCCTTTGTATTATTGCTAAGTTGTTGTTTCGTTTATCGCCAAGTTGTTGATTCATTTATGGTAACCTGAGTAGTTGAATGTCATGGAAACCCTATTATGACATAATCGGTTGCGTGGTTGCTGTAAATTTTGAATGATGGGAAAAATTTGTAAGTGCTTGTGTGTGTTGGTTAGGAAATACATTGCTTGTTTTGTGGTTTAGACGGTAGAATGGCTGAATGTGGTAAGATTAATCTGAAGTTTTTGTGCGATTAAGAACGAAAGGCGAAAAGAGCATTAATTCAATGGTGTGTAAATGAAGGTTTACTTAGTAGCCATTATAAGCGTCCTGTTTGTAGGAAGGAAATTCGTATGGTTGAACGGAGGCTACCGCCACTACGGAGGATATTTTTAAATCTTCTTTTTGTGAATTTATGAGGTGACGCCGATATACGGATTTTAGTTCAGATAATTTTAGGAAGGTTTTGGATGCTGTTAAGGAATTTTGTGTGCCGCATACTGAAGACGTAGAAATTTCTAAATAAAGTAAATGGATATTTCCTTTAGGTAGTTGGTAAGATGAATTTCCTTTTTTATGTTATTTTATTGTTTGATTTAAAATGTAGTTTATTGAGATTACGTGTTTTTTGTTTGGCTGTACTGTAGAACTGAGTGCTCCTTTGACTTTTTAAGTGAAAACAGATCGATGTGTACATGGACAAAGTCAAGGGAGTGCGCAATGCCAAATTTTTGCAATTCTCTGGTGTTTTTTAAGTGAAATAGGTCGATGTGTACTTGGATAAACTCAAGATAGTGCGCAATGCCAAGTTAGTGTAATTCTCTGATTTTTTTTTTTTTTTTTTTTTTTTTTTTTTTTTTCCCAAGTGAAAATAGGTCGATATGTACATGGATACCAACCTTGTGCAGTTCTTTGACTAGTTATTTTTTCTTTGCGTAGCGGCGATTTTTGGCTTCACAAAGCCAAAATAATAAGTCAAAGGACTGCACAAATTCGGTATCCCTGTACCGCCAAAAATCGCCAACTTTCACCAAGGAGCACCCGTAAATATATTTTTACCGGTTTAGCAATTGATACTGATATCAAATACCGAATGTATTTGCCCTCACTTACCATCAAAAACGCAAAATACGCGGAAAAACTCAAGCACCTGTGGAATGCATCCTTCATTTCGCAATGTCATCTGTTCAGGAAGATGAATACTTATAGACTCTTCGAAGCCGGTCAAGAAAGTTTTGAATGAATTGAAAGAGCGAAAATAAGAAAGAGTTTTATCTCATCCGAAGAATACTATTCAAAACGTTTATTTACCCATCGCTGTACCATTCCCTGTTATCTATATTTGAGTTACCTTTATCATTATTATTATTATTATTAGTTCAAAGATACAATTTACCCAGAAGGATTATTAATTTCCTTTTGGCATTTTGCGATGATTCACTACAAGCGTTGTTCACTTTTCAAATTTTTGCCACTAAATATTATCGCCCTGTATTATATTTAAAGAAATTAAGTAATGGGGAATCTGCATGAATGTGATAAAAACAAGGGTACCTAGAGCCATCAAATTTTGAATGACTTAATTCTCCTGCGAATATAGGTATCTGGAAGCCCAAATTTGAAATTTATTTTATTATCAATTTCATATTTTGCAAACCTTTAACAAATTTTTGATTAACAAACTCCAGGATTTCGAAGCGAGCAATGGCAATGTTGTACAGAAAAAACTTTTTTTTATCTCCAGCTCTCGAGACTGTATATCGGAAATTCTAAAGATATGTTCAGTTTAAAATTATTTTGCGATATTGCTCTTGAACTTAATTTTATGGTTTAAGTGCGAAGAACATGATATTTAATAAGTAAAGGTAACACAGAAAATGCTAAAAAAAACGCCACCTTTGGACGTAATTTAAAATCTGAAACCTTTCAGATTTTTCATTATTATTACTATTATTATTATTATTATATTTCACTTTTAGATGCATTAGTGTAATGTAATTTCATCATTTTTTAAAGATCATGAATTTATATTAATTTATGAATATTTTTATTTACCATATTATATTTTATTTAATCTTGATTATTAATTATTACTTAAATAGTCTTGATCCTCACCTCTTTGTCCGTAGCATTTAAGAATGTTGCCATCAAATGTTACCTCCATGTATTATTTTAAAGAAATAATTTAGCGAATTTTAAAAAAATAATGGCAGCACTTGACACTCTACTCTAAATTTTAAAAATATGCTTGTTTTTAAATTTTTATGATTCTGCTGTTGAATGTTATGTCACGTAAGAGCTACGAAAGTTATGATTGATAAATTAAGTTAAAATGACAAAACATCAATGGTAAAAAACAAAAAAAAGTTGTTTATATTATCTTATTCAGATAACTACACACATGTGATGAACAGGAAAAAAAATTAACGGCACAAGTTAATACGCTATTCTTAGTTAATATGATTGTGCCGTTAATAAAAAAATTAAAGGCACAAGTAAATATTGATTTAGAATTCCTACATCAAGAATTCTAAACATATGCTGCTTTTAAATATTTAGCGATTTTGCTGCTGAGCTGCATGTGGCGAAAGTGCAAAGAAAATTATCTTTCATGAATAAAGATAAAAAGACAAAAAAAAATGTTATTTTAGCTGAAGTCGGTTCAAAGCAGATTGATACACTTCGAGCTCAGCGAGAACTTAAAAAACCTTAACAATCCCTCCGGTACAACGTTAAAATCTAAACCAGCGGTTCTCTACCTTTTGATTAGCGCATACCACCTATTATTACTTTATTTATTTATTTCTCTTCGCCGTTTATGACGACTTGATGACGTTTATGAATAAATGCAGTTTATGACGGCTGCAGCAATACTAATTATAAATTGTTATTGCTTTCAACACACACTGATACTAAAATAAGATGGGTCTACTTTTTGTTAAAAAATAGATATCAGTCATTTTATTTTAAAACTAGTTTTTTCTTCAAGACGTTTTCAATAAATTTATGTACGATATTTAAAAAAATGACACATTTTTTCCTATTTTCTTACAAAATAAAAGAAAATTAAGCCTTTATGATATTACTCCGTTTAATAAATTTCATGACGTTTAATAACTAATGAGAGAGTAAATACACGTTATATCATCAACATAACTTAAAGAAAACTCTTGTACCAAGAATATACAAGATAATGCTTGTATTTTATGTAAACCGAATATCGCTTAATAGAAAGGAAAAATGAAAAAATACAATTTTGAAAATTCCAGCATTAAATAACGGTCACAAAATAAGTTATTTGGTACATTTCTAAAGTGGCGTTTACTAGTAAGATATATCTAATTAAAAATAAAGTGCAAACAATAGTTTTATTTTAAGTGATGTGAAATTGTCGAAACCCTGAAACAGTGATTTTTAACTGAATTCTTTTTAACTAGTAAGATATACATAATTAAAAATAAAGTGAATAGTTTTAAGTGATGTGAAATTGTCGAAACCCTGAAACAGTGAATTTTAACTGATTATTTTCCCTTATCAAGTCTATGAAAGTTATAGAATTTGTTTAAATCAATGACGTAGATCAGGAATCTTTTTAATCGAAGATTATAACTGATGCATAAATGTACTTAGCTACTAAAATATCTGAAATTTTTTAATTGGAATTTTGCAAAGAAGAGAAAACAATTAAAACAACTGTATAAAGTTAAATCCACAGACGGATTTTATACGATAATATTACATTTTTAGAAAAATAAAATTTTTACTGAAGAAATATGATAGTGGAATTTTAACAACAGTAAAAATAACTAGCACGAAATACAGTCGCTTTCAGTTCACTTTTACAGCTTTAAGCGGGACGATAAAAAAATAAACAATATTTACAAAATCATAACTGCTATCTTCGCTGTATCGCATTCGCTTAATTGATCGTAGGTAATCATCAACAGGTTTCAGAAAATCTATATATATACACATGCTCGTTTAAACTTACCTCCTAAAGATATATGAACCTGTTCTGGTATGGCAGGCTCTGCATCACAAAGGTCAGGACACCAAAAATAGAACAACAACCCCAGTAACCAACAACTCAAGAATTTCGACTTCATTTTCCAAAGTGCTTTCTTTTTTTCCACTCTTCTCTATGCCGGCCACTCGCAAACGGAAACAAAAACAAAGTGTCTATCGTCTGCTACTTCTTCCTCTATTACCTGCGAGCACGGCAGCTGCGATTGAGGCGCTCTTTCTAGTGCCCTCGTTTTTATTTACAAATGAAGTCACGTGGTGTGACCGGTTTTTAGTTGGGGGTGGACCTTTCTTCCCCAGCTTTAATTAGATATTTTCTGTTTTAATGGTAATGATCAGTTTAATTTATGTCTCATTTGCTCAGTATGACCCAGGCCTAGATGTTTGAAAGTTATTCATGTTGCAAGGAATACAATTCAAAGACTAAATAATGGTTGCATGCTTTTTTTATTTATTTTTATTTATTATTTATTGAAGAACATCATGCTATTGATCCTGAATATCTCTGAACCTGGTTGAAGGTTACATTCATTTTAAGTTGTTTGTTTAGATAAGCATGCGGGTATATTGATTTAAATAATGTTATGAATTTATTTTGTTTTTTACTTTTTAATGTTATTTTCGTATTCATTTTGTTTTGTTTTAAATGTCTTACCATTATAAGAAAACCTTAATTTTGATGTTGTAAGAAAATCAATTAAAATTAAGCCAAATTTCTTTTGCTTTCTTTTTTAAACTTTCAAACAGCTGAATAATTATTTTCTAATTGCTTTACTTAACGCAGCAAAATTTTTTTAAATGGAAATCAACTTTATTTATTTTTATAGGAAGTCATTTCATCGATAAACAATTAGATGTAATGAGAAATAAACTACGCCATTGATACCAAGTTTTATTAGTATATTAGAGGTGCACTTCAAAGTTTCCTTTTTCTTTCTCCTCTTCCCTATTTTGTTTTTAGCATCAGATGTGCTATTAGTCTCGAAACTCAAAACTCATTTCTTGTGTGTTTTGCCGCGACCGGAAATGAAATACTTTTATCTTTCACATATCTTCGCTTGTTGTATATCTTAGCTTGTTGCCATTCGGTAAAGGCTAAAATACTTTCAAATTTTTTCAAGTTTCTGAGTAATAAGCTAAGTGATTTAAAAGCAATAAACACAGTTCTTAAGAATATTTTTCTGTTTTAATGTGATTGAGTTAAATATTAAAGATGTATTGAAATCATGAGATGTGTAATTACAAGCAATTAATATTTTTTATCAAATGATACCAGCTAAACTCATTTAAGCTATTATTATATCCTTTTTTTATATTTATTTTTGATTACTATTTTAGGCGGATAGCCTGGCTTGAAGTTAGTTTTTAAAGAAATAATACAGGGAATATAAAAAAATTGTAGGACAACTCCCTAACACTCTATCAGGAATTCTGAAGTTATGCTGTTTTTTAGTATTTTTTAATTTTGCTGCTTGCTTTTTGCATGTTTGCAACATAATAAAAAGACAAGAAAACGCTTGTAAGTCATCTTATTAAGAAAACTGGACATTAGTATTATACATTGAGCAAAGATTGAAAAAAAAAAAGATACATGTATGTCAACTTTTATCAGTGTATTGGAAACTCTAAATATATGTTGCCATTCTGCTTTTAAAAATGTTGTGATTGTGCTGTTGAATTGTATATGGTGTTAGCGTGAAGAACGTGATGCTTAATAACAAAACTAAAATGATAAAAAAAAAAATTTGTTACATGTATGAGTCCAAGAATGAATTTTAAGCTGCGATGTTTAGCGAGAGCATACAAGACCTTAACACAAACCCTCCGATGCGAAGTCAAAATCTGAATCCTATCAGATTTTCTTTCTCTCCTTTATTTATTTTATTTTGTTTTGTAAATCGTAAACTCCAAATTTTAAACCTTATTACTTTTTCAACTGATATATATATATATATATATATATATATATTATAATTTCGCTCCTAAATGTTTAAGAATAGCTACAAAAAATTTATAATTAGTCGTTTTTTTAACTTGTTTAAAAAAAACTTAACAGCTGTGTGCGTAAAATTAATAATTTCGCAATTCGTAGATTTTTGAACAAATTATTAATACGCGGTTTGAGTATTCAAAGGCGCCAAAGGCTATTGCCAGCACACATATTAGGTTTCCAGATAGACCCGGAATATCATTCTTACTCTTTCAATGACAATAATTGCGGCTTCACCGCTCATAACTAAGCGCGAAAACCACACTTATTATTATTAATCAAAATTCATAATTCCATTGACAAAGACGCATTTAAAAGACATTGTGTATTATGTTCTAATTCACTCAATGCACTAATATTTTGAAGCAAAATCATTCAAGAACATACGCTTTTAACCTCTAACGTAATCAAGAAGGAAATTCTTCATACATACGTTATTTCGTGTGTTGAATTATAATATACTGGGTTAGTGTATAAGTCCGTACCGTACTTTACTGAGTTATCATTTTAACTAAACTGTTTAGTATATTTATTAGATTTTATTAGTATATAATACATAACAATACACTACAAAACAATACAATGGGTAATAACAAGGCACTGACACGCTGCATCATAAATTAATAATCAATCACTCATTCATTCAAGTCTTCTAGAACGGCAAAATGGCTGAATACTGGTAATTCGGTCCGGGGTTCGAATCTCGGTGAACGGGCTGGCTGCATGGGTGTTTTCGTTTTTTTTTTTTTTTTTTTTTTTTTTTTTTTTTTTTTTTTTTTTTTTTTTTCCCATGTATAACGTGTATACGAGGCAAATTCCTCCACTAAAGCATCCCTTCCGTTAGACATATAGCCCTCGAGAGCATTTTTATAATTAAATAAACCAAACCTTTCCCTCGCTGTTGTAATAGCCATCTTTGTCAATGACCGTCCAGATAGGAGTTCAGTGTCTCTTTTGTCGAATTGCAGTTTGGAGTTGAAGAAATCTGTTAGTCAGTTGCTAAGAGAAGCTTCATCATTAAACTCTTGTTCTTGAATGTTGTTAGAGACAGACCAGAAAAAATGCTAATCAGAAGGGACGATAAATCTGTCGAAAGTGTTCATTTTTTTCTGCTTGGCATTCCATACTGATTAGCTTCGAAAATGGCCAAAACGATCTGTTAACAACATGCAAGCTCCTGTTAGCGACAATTAAGCCCTAAACTGAAGAGAAACAGTTGAATAATGAAAACCAAAAGCTTCGCAATGCAGTGTTGCCAACCAAATAAAGAATAGAATGGATTAAAGAACATTTGAGCATCGACCCAGTATAACACCTGCACCAAAGTTCAAAGTATGTTTGATTAAGTTTCAGTTCAAACTATATAATAATAACAATACATTGTTTGCCATTTTTCTTTCCCTATGTTGTCTGCATCTCATTGTGCGTAATGACCAGAAACCTGTACTTTATAAAGTTTTTCAGTTGGAGTGGAGTACGTCAAAGATGGTTACAGCGGAAAACATCGCGGACGAAAATGTCGGGGAGAAAACAACGCGAGGCGAAAATGCCGTAATACAAAGCATCGTGGGAGGAAAGAAAGCAAAGAGAAAACATCGCAGTTCTAAAAATAGCGTGATACAAAATATAGTGGTTGAAAATAAAGCGGTTCAAAAACTTCACAATTTAGAAACATCGTCGCCGAAAATATCATGGTAAAAAATAAAGTACCTACAAATCATCGCATGATGATAACATTGCACACGTGCGTTTTTCAGGTTTTAAAAGTTGTAAATGCATTTTCGCATAATGATTTTAGAGCGCAAGAAGAAAACAGGGTGAAAATATTAATTTCACTTTAAGAATAAACAGAAGCAAAACAAGATGTAATTTTCACTAAAGCAATAACAGATTAACAAACGTGAAGGAAAATAATTTGATAATTAACTAAGCAATTTTTACGTAGTTATTTATCTTCCTTTTCCTAAACATTTTTAGACTGTATTTTTCATAAAAACTTACCAGTAAAACTTTATAAAAAAATTTATTTTATTAATAACTTTCGTTAATTAACTATCTAAATTTAAAATTCTATTAAGTGCTATAGAGTTGCATTAGTTTTCTACTCATTTTTAAATGCTTAAGTTTCCCTCTTAGTTTTATAGCAAAAATTTATTAGTTCGTTCAAAAGTATGAAATACAGAATTTTCTTGCCTTCTTGCGCTCCCAGATCATTATTCGAAAATGCACTTACAACTTTTAAAACCTGAAATAGTATATCTGCAATGTTATCGTCACGGGATGATTTATAGGTACTTTATTTTTTACCCCGATATTTTCGACGACGATGATTTTAAACTGCGAAGTTTTTAACCTCGTTACTTTCGACCACGATATTTTGTACCACTACGTTTTCGTCTTGCGTTGTTTTCTCCGCGATGTTTTCGTCCGCATTGCTTTTGCCGCGATGTTTTCGGCGGACACCAACAAAGATCACGGAAAACAGAATTTTCAGTCTTCTGTAAAACATTAACATACTGAATTTTGCTGAATTACATATCGTTTTCGACAGACAGAGCTACTGGCTAGGATCTGTACCTAGGCAGTCTCGGCCACGGGGATATAAAATTGATGAACTTGGTTCTGAAGGTTCTGGGAAATGTCATTCATTGGCCGGCCTCGGAGTCTGGCATATCCTGAGCGGTTGTATCCGTAGCCGGAGGGTTATCCCCCCCCCGGTTTGCTGGATAACGGCCCTCTGCGACGGGCCCGCCCTTGTGACTGGCAGGAGCAATTGACGACCAGTGCTGCCTAGTGTCGTATCCAGGTGGTGCGCTGCTCCCCTGGAAGGCTAATAGTGGAGGTTGAACCTCCACGAAGTGCCCAAAGGCGGAGTGGACCTGTAGTATGCTGAGTTCACGGAACAGGGCAGCCAAAAATCTTATCTTTCGACAGACAGACCTCGCGTTTTCTTCTCGGTCGGTATCCTAATAACGCACATACTTGGCGGGCAAAAATTAAGGATGGGAAATGTTTTCGCAAATACCATTACGCAGAAGTGTTTTCGATCTCTGCGAAGCGTACCACAATCTGTACCACAATATGTTCGAAATGTAATACTATGAGAAAGATGAAGATCAACAACGAAGAAAGGAATCCATGGGATGCCAAGGACATTTATTCAAAAATGC